ACTACTGGCTCTTTGCAGATATGAAAAAAATGCTCCAGGGAAAGAAATTTGGCTCAAATGAAGAAGTGATTGCGGAAACTGAAGCTTATTTTGGGGGCAAAGACAAATCGTTTAATATAAAGGGAATTGAAAAGTTAGAGGAGCGTTGGAATCAATGTATCACACTGGAAGGAACGTATATTGATGATTAAAGTGGAATTTCTAAAAAAAAATTTGTTTTTCTTACAAGTTAGACCGGAGACTTATTGAGTGACGTGTTATATATCATCATACTGTATCTAACACGTTTTATCCGTACACGTGAAAGAGTTAATGGTTGCACTACTATACGAATAACATATTAATAAATGAATTTGCAGGATGAAAATAAACATAGTTGATGAGCTGTTTCATTAAATGCAAAGTGAAATTTGGAAATTTGATATCTGTTTGAAAGAATTGTTCTACTCACGGCTTTCCATTTGTAGTTTACATTCTTGCGTGTCGTGAGGATAAATCAAGAAATTCATGGCACAAGAAAGTTTCAGTGTCAATCTGCGAAAAAGATACAAACGAGATAAAGATACATTAATCGTGCATATCACTTATTCTTAAGTATAAAAATTTCAAAATATAAATCCATGGCTTGTTGCAACATTTACCAATGTCAATATTTAAAATTATGTCAATATTTTGGTATATTGGCACTTAAAAAAATGTTGAGAACTTCACGTTTATATAATGTTAGATGTAGCAATTTCTACTGTTTCTGCTGTGTTGTCTGCTTATGTGACAAGAGAGGATTAAAGATATTGAATTATTAAGAATTATTTGACTTTGATATTGTACAAACAATTTATTTTATGAGAATTTTTAACAATATATAAATATCACTATAGTTAATCGAAGATAGAATTTGAAACGTTTATTTCTTATATAGAAAGTATGTTCAACGTTTTGTTCCACAAATACAATACTGGATTTAATTCTTTTTTGAAAAAATATGACAGATACTTCTTGCACCAAGCTATAGAAATATATTTATGTGGAACAGAATTTACTATTAATTAGACGAAAAAGATTTGTGAAATTGAACTTTGAAATTTACAAAAAAAGGACAAAATAAAAAATCAAGTGAAAATACAGAATTGTTATATGAGTTTGTTAAGCGAAAAGTTCCTTACTTCACCATATAAAGAATAGTCTTGTCTTTGTACAGCCATAAATAGTGGTTCGGTATAGTCATCGTTTGAAAAGTCACTGATTTCGCATTCTTGAAGAAGGAATCCGGTCGCCACATGTTCTTCAACCAGTCTACTTCTAACAATCTTAAATAATTCAAACGATTTTAGTGAATTTGTATTATTAAATTCATTCCATGTTTTTAACTATAAAGATATGTCACATATTTATTAATTTACATAATGATCCAGTCATATTTGGCTACATGGTGGTTTGATGTTTATAACGACGTATGAAGAATAAAAAAAGATATTTTACATTTTGAAAAATTATATTATTATTCCAAAAGACCTGTATTGTATTCATAACATATTGCGCAATTCAACGCAGATTGGTTAATTTTTATCAACAAGAATATTAAATTTTAATTTTATCTGCTACTGTACACACGTGAAGAATATAAAAAAGTATATGCACTATAATTACGAAACTAATATAAAAATAAGCTCGAAAAGTCGTTCGTAGTAAAAGTTAGTCATAAAATATGTTGTAAGGTAGATAAGTAGGAGACTACAGCGTAAATTGGAATACACATTTAAAATTGTGTAAAATTCGATATGAGTACAAAATATTTATCTTTTTCAATTAAGTACTTATACTAATTTTAAATCTATTTATACTTTAAAAATGACAATTACAAATCATTCAAATTATCAACAGAATGGTTCGACCTTCATACGTTCATCGTATAATGCAGGTAGATATACCTGTACATGTTCATATACATATGTCTCTGTATTTATATACTGTTGATCAAGATTAAAAGTTTACTTCATTTTCAGTATTATGAATAATAATATTACCTTTTTCTTCTACATAAAAATACAAGAAAAATAATGCTACAAGAAAAGATTTTGTAATTTATACATATAATCAATTATTTTTCTTTTTATGAAAAATGGTATATTCAGTCCATTTATTAAAATGACCATTTAATTTCATGGTACCGTATCAAATCAAATCATGTTAAATCATAAGCGGGGACATTTCTCATTTAGATATGTTTAAGTTTGCGCCGCTTTCGAAATGTTGTAATGCATTAAATATTTTATTTAGTAATGAAATCATTTTTTTTAACTAATGTTGTGTATTTCCATAAACATAAGTAAAATAGCAACTATTTTTTAGTTTTCAGTGCACCGTATTAATTTAGTTCAATAAATACACTTACCTAACCGTTGTTGTTGCATATTTATATAAATAAAATAGAAATTACTTTTTACTTTTTAGTGCATTTCGAAATTAATTACAACTTTTTCTTTAAACTTCCTAGTTTGATGAATATTTTAAGTGGAATGAATGCATCATGTACAGACTGTGAGATTATAAATAACACTTCTTTTAAGGATGTAAAAGAAATTTGACGCGAGGGGAAAATAGTGTAATTCTGACAATATAAGCAAAAAATATAATAATACTTGAAGAAGTTACACATTTGATTATGAATACATATTAACATTTGTGGTACAGACGTATTCTGAGTTGACTTCTGTTATTTCTAAATATAAGTTTAAGTCGTTTCTTCAATATGAATAAAAATTGTTGGGAGACAGATTTGATTTCAATCCAGTTGAAAATTAATTTACAATAATTTGGAATGCTATTAGGAATTCTATCTTTAGAAAGTGTAAAGATGCAATAAAAGTTCGTGGGAGCAATATTCATTCTTTATTTTCCTATTTATTTTATACTTCTATTCATATTGAAAAATTGTAATAATGTTTTCTAGTTCGACGTTGCTAAAAAATAATTTGGCTCAATTCTAAGGCAACGGATTGTATTACTACAGATTGCATATCCATATTACGAATTGTTAATGGTACAACGGTACAAGTATGAAAGTCGTTAAGGGGGGCAATATCTTTATAATCTTAAAAAATTGCAAAACTTTTTTTTCTATAAAATGTTAGTGTAACATCTTAAAAAACATTATCTCAAAATTTTTAAGTGAAATACGGAGCTCTTTTAAAGTTATGGCCGATTATCGTGACTCCTGTTTAGTATCGCGCTGCAGGTATTTACGCGTTCAGTTCAGAGGACTGAAACTTTAAATGCGTTTCTTTGAAAACTATGTACATTCTTAAAATTGGCGTGGCTGATAACATATGAACCTAAATGTATGAAATATATTGAACATTAAAGTTCTTTTTTATTACAAAATATTGCAAAAATTTTCAATAAAATTCAAAGTTTTTCTTTAAAAGCGCGCCAACTCTTCAATTTTACATATTTTGCATATTTCTGAAATTCATCTACTAACTGTGAATGTTAATTTTCGAAACATCGTTTACAAACTTGTTTCAGACCAATATATCTAAAGCTAGAACCCACGCCGATTCACGAGATGCGGCAAAACACTGAAACTCAAAGTCAAAGTGTTGCTAGAATAAAAACTCATATCTGCAGGTTTATAGTCAGGTTTCAGTCTCGCTTTGTGGCTATTAAGTTTGTAGCACTGTACGAGATCTATTCATTAAAAGGTCACTCATAGCGTAACTCCGGAGTCCGTATAATGCGTTAATAGGTCCGGCTTTGTGAGTTCCTCATTGCCCGGGTGGAATTTATAATTATATACCTATGTCATAAGCCCTTGCCTATGTTGTGCTGCGCGTCAACTTAATGCATACGCAAGCTAGTTAGGTATTGTATCAGTGACCACTACTCCGATAATATGAACAAACAACTGATGTAGGAGGTATAGGTTGAACTTTATTTTAATACTTAGAAAAAATCACACGACGTGGTAATGGACTTTTAAGAATGTTTACTCGTTAAGAGCTGGCGAGAGAATCTATCTTGTCTAACATGAGTATTTTCCACGAAAACTAAAAATGCGGAGAGGGATCGGCATGTATTTGGGGGTAGACGAGCGACTTGTCAAAATTAACCATTCGATTGGTCGACAAAATATTCCAAGAAGGGGTAAGAACCGCCCTCACAAAATGTTGAGCTCAGGTCAAAGTTGACCTGAAGAAAGTCGACTACACCGTCGCTCGTCACCTAACGGTTGGACAGTCATAAACAATAAATTATGTTGGGCCTTAATAAAAATATAAAAACATATAAAAATTTCGGAGGTACAAATTGGCCCACAATAAACCGTTGCAACGGTAACGGTCATTTGCAAGAACATTCTAAGTAAAATAAAAATACGGTCTTAAAATATTAAGATTGAATCCCAACAGCCTATATATCTAAAGGTAAAATTAAGAATCGAATATTATAACAATATGACGGCTCATTTTTATGCTTGTCATTAGATGACGCGCATGTACACAACAGTGTGGCGGTTTCATTCTTACGCTCATCACCACTAGACGGCGCATAAGATCGAGACTGACTTTCTCGCTAGTACTCAAGGAGCATTCCGATTTCTACAAATAGTTCTTGTATACGCAACATTCTTTCCATACATCTCCGTGTATAAGACCGCGTTTAAACTATGCCAGTAAGTCGTGCCAGTGGCCTGTACAAGTAGGGTAGTTTTTGCGTTTCTTACTTTGCCTGTATTAGGCGTTTCTAACTTTACCTGAATCTTTACATTTGTGTTAAAAAATTGCGGGTTAAATGACGCAGGGCCCGATGGAAGGAAGGCAAGAAAAGAAAGAGACCACTTTCTTTTTCGAACATTAGACCTGGTACAGCCAAAGTAAGAAACGCAAAAATTCAACTACCTACTTGCACGGGCCTCCGGCACGGCTTACTTGCCTACTGTAAACGCGGCCTTACTAGCATAATGTAGATGCGCCCTTAGGCACGCGGCTGCTAAGATGCCTTACTAACGAATCAACTAGCACACCGCGGATGAAAAGTTTTCCTACCTCTTATTCCATTTTTTAACATTACATTTGCAGAAGCAGTCAAAAGAAATTAGATTTACATTCAATTTAATTCCAGAATATAAATATCTTCTATAAAGATAAAAATGAACGTATGCCTTAGTTACTCTGTTTCTGCAGAAGATGAACCTTTAAAATGTGACAAAATTCATGTTATATCTTGTTAAATTTTACAAACTTTTATAAGTTTGAAGGTGTAGAACTATATTTTGATTCAAAAGAAAGTGCGAATCTTTGATACTGTACATCTCTTCAGAAAATTTATGTACATAGATATTTGAACGAGTATTTCTATTCGGCTGTCGATTTTGAGGGATGTATAAGTTAACAAATTGTTGAATTATTATTGTTTAAAGGTTTTGAAGTTTAGTACAAATATTTTCTTTATGTCAAGATCACAGTGAAATTTTTAGATAAATACCTATATTATTATTGAAATTATGTTGGTTTTCCCATAATGGGATCGGCATGTATTTGGGGGTAGACGAGCGACTTGTCAAAATTAACCATTCGATTGGTCGACAAAATATTCCAAGAAGGGGTAAGAACCGCCCTCACAAAATGTTGAGCTCAGGTCAAAGTTGACCTGAAGAAAGTCGACTACACCGTCGCTCGTCACCTAACGGTTGGACAGTCATAAACAATAAATTATGTTGGGCCTTAATAAAAATATAAAAACATATAAAAATTTCGGAGGTACAAATTGGCCCACAATAAACCGTTGCAACGGTAACGGTCATTTGCAAGAACATTCTAAGTAAAATAAAAATACGGTCTTAAAATATTAAGATTGAATCCCAACAGCCTATATATCTAAAGGTAAAATTAAGAATCGAATATTATAACAATATGACGGCTCATTTTTATGCTTGTCATTAGATGACGCGCATGTACACAACAGTGTGGCGGTTTCATTCTTACGCTCATCACCACTAGACGGCGCATAAGATCGAGACTGACTTTCTCGCTAGTACTCAAGGAGCATTCCGATTTCTACAAATAGTTCTTGTATACGCAACATTCTTTCCATACATCTCCGTGTATAAGACCGCGTTTAAACTATGCCAGTAAGTCGTGCCAGTGGCCTGTACAAGTAGGGTAGTTTTTGCGTTTCTTACTTTGCCTGTATTAGGCGTTTCTAACTTTACCTGAATCTTTACATTTGTGTTAAAAAATTGCGGGTTAAATGACGCAGGGCCCGATGGAAGGAAGGCAAGAAAAGAAAGAGACCACTTTCTTTTTCGAACATTAGACCTGGTACAGCCAAAGTAAGAAACGCAAAAATTCAACTACCTACTTGCACGGGCCTCCGGCACGGCTTACTTGCCTACTGTAAACGCGGCCTTACTAGCATAATGTAGATGCGCCCTTAGGCACGCGGCTGCTAAGATGCCTTACTAACGAATCAACTAGCACACCGCGGATGAAAAGTTTTCCTACCTCTTATTCCATTTTTTAACATTACATTTGCAGAAGCAGTCAAAAGAAATTAGATTTACATTCAATTTAATTCCAGAATATAAATATCTTCTATAAAGATAAAAATGAACGTATGCCTTAGTTACTCTGTTTCTGCAGAAGATGAACCTTTAAAATGTGACAAAATTCATGTTATATCTTGTTAAATTTTACAAACTTTTATAAGTTTGAAGGTGTAGAACTATATTTTGATTCAAAAGAAAGTGCGAATCTTTGATACTGTACATCTCTTCAGAAAATTTATGTACATAGATATTTGAACGAGTATTTCTATTCGGCTGTCGATTTTGAGGGATGTATAAGTTAACAAATTGTTGAATTATTATTGTTTAAAGGTTTTGAAGTTTAGTACAAATATTTTCTTTATGTCAAGATCACAGTGAAATTTTTAGATAAATACCTATATTATTATTGAAATTATGTTGGTTTTCCCATAATAAATCGTTTTTAATGACTGCACGCTGCATTTGTCTAACAAAAACTGAAAGATGATTTTAACTCATATAAAACGGCTATCTTATAAACTAGAATAAAGTAAAAGAAAAGTTTCCAATGAAGTGACAATTGTGAAAAGCAGAAATTTATCAAATTTGTCATTTTTGTAGAAAATAAAAAGAAAGGTTGTGGATATCGCCGTAATTTTAATTTATAAAATATATAGCACTTCCAACTACTTTAACATTTATTTAATGGGAAAATATTTAAATATTTTATTGAATCTTTTAAAACACGTCTTTTACAATTCAAGGATGGCAAAGGACTGGTAACAAATCAATTGAACATTAACGGCATTCATACATTTCCAACGATCATTCGTCTCCACTTGCAACACCTTCAGTCACTCCATTCACACTTCAAGAAATTATAATAAACATATAACGGGTCTTACAAATAATATTAAACCAATAAATGCCTACAAATAGAAGAACGTTTACTTCATATTTTTACAAAATATGGAGAAAATTGGTAAATGTATTTCTAAGATATTGTGGCCATCAATTTGAGAAATGTGATTTCAAGAAAAACACACAGTTATGGCTCCGATGCATTTTCTCTTACATATCGTTCTCTTAAAATTGTAACTTTGACTTTTTAACCCTTTCACTACGAAATACGTAAATATACGTCCTGAGAAGTCTATCGATATAAACGAAAGACGTATATATACGTCCTGCGAAATCTATCGATGTACACGAAAGATGTAAATATATGTCCCTAGATGTTCATCTATATATTCAAGAGACCTAAATATACGCCCATTACGTCTTATTGAAAGGCATTTTCCTAGCATATATTTTAATCCGTCTTTTAAAAAAAAAAAGATTCTGCTCGAAAATGTGCAGTATGCAGTAAACACAAAATTCGTCGAGAAACTAGGTATGAATGCAAAGAATGTGATATATCTTTGCTACATTTTTATAAAAGGCTACTTAAAATAAATCAATAATAGATATATTTAATTCATTTGTGATGGAAATGGGAGTACAGATTTATAATATAATTTTGAAAACTATTAAATATAAGACAACACAATTAACACAATTTGAACACCAAATGAATTTATTTTAAAACGGGAAATAACAAGGAAGGAACTTTAAATGAAACACAAGATCTTTTAATATACGTGTACGATATCGTAATTACAGAGAGAACAGTAAAGAATAATTATATACACTGCTCAAAAGAAATATGGCATAGAAAAATTTTTGGCAAAAATTGGGCAAATTTGACTGATGATAACACCGTGAAAAATCATTCTTCAAAGTTCTGTATCTTTGCGGAAAAAAATGGTAGCGGTTTTTCACGTACTGGAAACTAAAGATGAAGGTTTGGACTTTATGCTGCTCCAAACAGTATCACCAAAAAAAAATGTGGCAAATCCATGCATTTCGTCAAACTTTGTAATTTTCAATATTGCAAACATGATCTCACATTTACGGTGTTATTGTGGTAGCGATGCATCAAATCGAAAATCAAATTATAGGGTCTTAAAGTAGAGATCTCAAGCTTTAACTTAAAAAAAAGAGTATAACTTTGCGATAATTTTTCACGGAGTTATCATCAGTCAAATTTGCCCAATTTTTGCCTAAAATTTTTCTATGCCATATTTCTTTTGAGCAGTGTACATATTTTACTTTAACATTTGAGGATCTAATTGAAACGAGCGGTATCATATAGATAGTAGATAAATATACATACTTGATTACCGACTTATTGGCAAATTACCGACATATTTCTGTATTTATTTTTGCTGTTTTCAACAATTTGCAATGATTGTTTTTTAAGTCCTACGAATAGTATCAAATTTTCGGATATTGCTATGGTCACTGGTCTGCACGGCGCGGCGCAGCGACCGACATGCGTCTAACGCGTCGTCCCTGTTGATGGATTACTCCAAAATCGCGCCGCAGTGAAAGGGTTAATAAATTCAAGCATAAGGTTTGGAAAGTAATTTTTCAATGAACGTTTTGACCCTTCCAAAGAAAATAATCCATTCAGCTCATAATTATTAAAGTCGAAGCGAATAATAAGAACGAAAACATAAATGTATTAAAAAATTACTTTTATGAGAGTAAAAAATATTTAAAATTATTCATGAAAAAGGCTAGGCAATTTCACACGTAAATGAAATTAGTAAGTGGTGGAGATCTGCATTTTGGTAAAAAATTTCTCTTTAAAGTTTGTTTGTTCACTTTGATCACGTGTGAGAGATATTGGATAAAACTAATTTTTTTTAGCAAGCAGTACACGTGATACTCTCACTCGCTTTTATATCACTAATTCTTTATTAACATTAAAAAGAGCGACGTACCAATATCTTAAAAATATTAAAATCAGCACTTTCATTATGAACAACTTGAAAACTGTAACAGTTCGCTGACTAAATAATTAGGAAAAATTACTCAAGACCATAACTATTACAATTTATGTTAACATTGAGGTTATCGTAGTTGACTTCCCTGTAGTACATAATTACCATAATATTTAATAAATACAGTGTGTAATAGTAACATTACTCGAAAGTGACATGTGAGATGTTCTCTGACGTTATTATGTTGTCTTTTTATCCCCAACATATTCATTCACACTTATTTCGATAAAATTATTTAAATTATTCATGTATCGATTAAGAACATTTTTTTTTCTAATAATAGCGTTACGTGGGGTTTCATCATGATTACGTTGCATCTTTTTTAGTTGCTTATTCACTAAGTTTTGAAGGTAAATAGAATTCCATTCTGGTCGAATAGCATTCTGCTATGATCCATAGTTGGATAGAACAAAATATTTTTACAGTGCATGCTCGTATCAATTTTGGCAAAAAAAATTAATAGAAACAAATTTCAATTCATTTATGACACATTGAGGATGAAAAACTTTCAAAATAAATGAAACAAAAAAATTCGTTGGAACCATGTTGAATTTGAATTTATCCAAATAACAAGAAAGTGATCTAAAAGATGAATTTGATAGTTCATCCTGCACATTTCCACTACTATTTCCCCATTAAACTGGCACATAACATAGGTACAATAACCACAATTCTATTGTATTGTTGAACATTATTATGAATATATATTTTTTATACTTCATACAACATTATAAACATTGAACCTCTGTTTAAGTGACTATAATTATAATAACCTATGGTCTATTAGAAATTGTTATTTCCTCTGATCAACATCTAATTAAACCTCGTAATCGGGTATAATGAATTAATTCATCATCAAACTGATGAACTTTAAGTATATAATATTGCATTTACTAAAAAATCTTTACCTTTAAGTGTATATAAATATTATTGTTAAAAAAAGAATATATTGTATTTTCCTTTTTTTGAATAAAATCAGTACTCTTAAATTAATTAATTGTTTGTTATAAATGCAGAATTGAAATGTTTTCTTTTTGTTAGCGAAAGACTCGTTCGGGAATGAAGTTAAGCAACACTTGTATTTAAAATTATTTTGTGGATGTTTAGCTATGAATATTTCATTTTCTTGTGACTAAACTAGTTTTATTTTTAATTAAACATTTTTATAATCAATAAATTTTTTATGTTCAGTTTTATATAAAACTTCATATTAAAAAAGTTATCTCTTACATTTGAGTTTAACGAGTTGTCGTTTGTAATATTTCCGACTTATTAATATTTGAATATTAACCAGTTAAGTGTGTTTGACGACTATATCCGTCATGGAGATGTGGCATAATTTTGTGTTATAATATGTTTAAAATGTTTAAAAGTTAACACGAAATGAAATAAACAAATGAAAAGTGTAAATGATTTGAGATGGATTCATAAATTCTTGAGAGCTAACTCGTCATCGCTTGATTATCGCGACACACACTGGTGCGCGTTTTGCAAAAAGATCGCCACAATTAACTGGTTAATATTTGAAATATTAATAAGCCTGCAATAAGTTTGAAAACATTTCATTACGAGATAAAAATAGAAACTGACATACCTATATTCAGATGTCATGTTTTCTGGCAATCGCAACCTGTTGTCTTTCCAAGTTTGAGCGAAGAATATATCAGCAGCATAGGTCTGAAAACATCAAAAATCAAAATCTATTCATTCAGCGTTTAATATTGTTTATTTTACTTTTCAATGAAATTTTCACGTTCTGAGAAGTTTAATGAAACTTCATAATTAATCGAGATTTTATACATTGTTGGCCAAAATAAATTCTACTTAAATTTTCATTTTCATGTATTCACCCAAAAACGTAGAATAGAAAGCAATGCAAAAAGGAAATTTCGTTTGAATCTAAATTTCTAAATTACACATTTTCACAAAATTAAGTTGAATGAACATTAAAAATTTAAATATTAGAAATTGAAATTGAATAATAAATAATACCATTGAATTCTCATCTATTGAATCAAGTCCCATGACAGTAACGTGGAAATAAACGACGGTTGCTTGTCCATCTTTCTTAGGTGGTCGCATTTTATCGTAAAGTTTAGGATCTTCCGGTAAAAGATCGAAGAACTCCAAACTCCGCCTGCAATTTCGATTCACAGCTTCAATAAAAGTAGAAACACTTTATTAAACGAGTCATAATAATTTCATATAAAATTTCACGCGAAGTTAAATGAATAAAGATAAAAAAAATGACATTTTTATTCTGGCGAAAAATTATTTAATAATGAATTTTTAGATTCCAGAAATTGCATTATTAAAATAATATGTTAGAATATCTTTAATTGATTTATATCTAAAAAACACGTTTTATTATGGCGGAACTTTTAATTTTCCTCAGCATCAGTGAATATGTACGATTGCACAGTTCAATTACATTTTCACATGATTTATATTAAACATACACGATATCACAATTGGAATTAAAAAATGTCTAAAATGTTTTTCTTGACAGTCCCGTGTATTTATCACATCTCCTCACTTTTTCTGTTACCACGAATTGAGTACATTCATGTTGTAACATATGCGATCCCAGTGAAATAATATAACTTCATGTCAGAAAGATGGTGATCTAGAAATGGGGAACTTAAGGATCGTTAAATCATTCAATGGAGGAATACAAACTGAATTTGAAACAAAAATTTAGGAAATATATGAAGAATTATGGAATTCAAATTTGAGGCAGCACAGCAATATTTAAAAGAGTGTTAATATATTTATCTATTTGGTTAATATATTCAGTTAGAATGCACTATGCAATTTTTAGTATCATGACGTTAATTGGTGGCATCTTTTAATATTTTAATTTAGGTCCATACTTTGTCACTGTCAAGCACCACATTGAACATATTAACGTTATACTTTTCACAATGATTTAAAGCTTCACAATATTCACTATTTTCACTATTTTCAGAACATATCTAGTTTTATTAAACTTAACACACTGCACTGTATGTTTTATCGTGGTTCACTGTTTCGGCTTCTTCACAATCATTTCATCAAATTTGCTGTCCATAATCGATTCGACATGATTCCGCATCAAGAAATAGCTAAACAAAGCGTGTCATTTAGACTGTTTTATGGAATGCCTTAGCTTCCTTCCAAACTGAAACATTATTTTTATTTTGTAATTAACATCACATAAAGTTATTCAAAATATTAACTATTGAAGCAATAATTCTCACAATTTTATGATTCATAATTATTTAACAATTTTTTTAACCAATATAATATTTGTACAGAAAATCTACACGTATGCAAAGTATAGTCCTCATTTTATCTTACATACATATAATAAATACGTATCGCCAATCAAATAACACTGGAGGAAAATGAAATATACATTAACTTCATGTACACGAAAAGAGTTACACAATAACAAAAATATTAGTTGCAAAAGAGTTTTCATTTATGGCTTCAAAACAAAGAATTTTATATCCGAGGAAAGTATCTCTCACAGATAACTACTTTGCCAAAACATTCTACGTTAATGAAAATATTAAAGAAATGGTAACACAGAATAAACCTCCATAATATTGCAATACAGTGCGAAATTTTCAGAGAAGAGGTTTAAATTACAACACAAAAGCTGCTCGAAAGAACATAGGTCCCAAAAAAGGAAATTTTTTCTTTTCGAAAAAAAGTCCAGTCAAGAAACGAAATTATGAGCGTGAAATTTTAATGGAAGGAACGTTAAAATTCAAGAAGAGGAACGGTTGGTACAATTCTCTAATGCCATTATTGAAAGAGTCCAGTACGAAAAAGTTAAGAACAAGAAGTGCTAGACTTCAACGTAATAAAAATATAACATCAGAGTAAACCCAGCGAGTCGCAATCACAACAGAGAATTACAAATTCAAAGACAGAAACTGGTGATATAAGATCTCGATGGGAAAGAAATAGAAATTCAAGGAAAGAATCTGCGGGTACATATTTCAATAGAAAAGGATCGCGATTCCAAAAGAAGGTGCTGCTGGCACGTTAAAATGGCGGCGTTTTGAGTTGGAAGCGTTTGAAAGATTCTTACTGAGCATCCGCGGTGCGTCCAAGAAGGAGAAGAAGTACAACCGAGGAAAGAATTGCGGAAACCATGCCGCCCCCATGTGCTTCGTCCATCGACATCTTTCGTCGACGTCTTCTCAGCGCATTTTCTTCGTACCAGAAGCGGAAGAACCAAAAGTCAGAGGGAATCAACGCAAAGACAGTTGGATGCGTATAACGCGTGGAACGGAAGTAAGCGGAAGAGGCAAACAAAAGAAGGAAAAAAAAAGTTCTTCGAAGGAAACTGAGCTCTATCTTTCTCTCCCTCTCTCCGTTGGCCAATCCCTTTGCCTTTTCCTGATCGTTAATCCCCGAATCGCGAGGACGTGCAACCGTCGACTGACTTCTTCAAACGACTTTGTCGAAGCTGCAGAATCCTCATCGTCGGCTATAGAGAGGCAGCGGTGGAGGTGGATACTCATTGGTAGCGGTAGTGGTGGCGATGGAGGTGGTGGACCAGCAGCAGCACCAGCACCAGCAGTACCGATATACCTCGTCGTCACCCCGCTTCTTCCTCTTAACTCGATACTGAGGGAAGAAGAAAAGAAAGAAGGGGTAACTCGCGCTCGTGACGTGCTACACGAAGACAGGTTAGAAAGGGTCGAGAGTATCGCGGAGGACCGACGAGAAAAGAAGTGGTGGTAATCCCTGTGGGTCGTGGCGTCCCGATGTTTCCACGACACGAATCTACCCCAATGCGGTATGCCCAATGTGGCATCGTCAACGGACGTAATCGTGCAATACGAACACGTTGTCAAACGCGCTAATTGCGTCGATGAATGCTAAGGGGATAAATAACGTACGCCTGAATGGAGGCCACGCGAATCACTCTCTTGGTTTGATTCTTCGGATCCATCGGTATGTGCGGCTACTGTGTTGAAGAAATGGAGTGTTATTTTTTTGTTAGAATTTCTGGGATAGATTTTAAAGATTTAATTGTCAGTAAGGGTAGTGACTATTTGAAAAGACTATTGACTATAATAACAGTTGCGAGTTGCTATTAACAGTTGGTATTAACTTGGTATGAGCAATTCAGAGTACTTAAAGTGAAAACATTTATATTCACAAAAATAATACTTATCACGACAGGATATATTTTTTGGTTTAACGTTATCAGACATGAACAATCATTGATGTTAATATGCGATAATATTAATTTCATTTTTTTAAACGTTTTAATGATTATTACGTATTGCATAATGTTAATGGTTGACCTTTTGTGCTAATGACTTACTTGAAAGCATTTAGGGTACTTAAGAACTGTAATTTAAAACCGTATTTTTGGTTAAATATATGCAGTTTGTAAACAGTAATTAATTGTTTAATTAAAAACGTTTTTATTTTAGCTTGATGTTGTTTCATTCGCCTCTTTAAATAACAGAACGACCTATGACAAAAAAAATTAGTAAGCTTTTTAAAACACAATGCATACTATCCTAAATCAAACGAGCTACATTATTTATGTTTATGCTTGTACCGTATAAAAAGACAATCGTCTTTTTATACAGTAGAAACATATCCAATTGAATAAAAATTTTCTAGTTTATATTTTATATAGGTTTCAGTTATTTGTTTCAGTAAATTGAAAGATTTGAATTATTTTAGTTGCCTTTCATTTGTTTGATTTGTATGAACTATACTTTGTATTGTGATATATCTATAATTATTTAACAAAACTTTAAAATAGCTACAAATATTTTTGGTTATTTTACTTATATCTTGCGTTGCTTTTCAAAATTCGAAAACTAGATTTTCTATTATTTTGGTGTAATAGAATTTGATAACCGGTTTTTCTGAAAGTCGATTTTGTATAAACCTGTATCATATACACCTATTATCAATCAAAATTTTTTGAAAATAATTCTGATTTTATACACAAACTAACATTGAAAACACTTATAACAATTTGTGAAATTGTTCAAATGAGAGTAATATTTAGACGTGCGAAATAATTGTATTCTGTTTTATTGAATGATATATAACACGAATAATTATTAAAATTGTTATTAGGTAGTGCTAATTTAATGAATTCAAAAATTATATAATAGTTATGATGTGTAACATTAATTTAAAAATTTATGAAACAAGGATTTTGTAAACAATTCCTAAAAAATTTTAATTTAAATAAATATTCAATATTAACAATTCAAAATTTAATCTGTAAATTACTTTTTTAAGATACAATGTATAAATCGAAGTAACTGTATCTTACTTCTTTTAACTAAAATTATAAAAGTGTTGAAAATAAAAAGTAAATTGACTTTTATTTCTTTACATGTTGGCCTATTAAGAAATTACTACTTATTTCTGTACATTTTAAAGACTGTTAAATTTAATTTCAACTCCGCTGAGATCTTTATTAGAATAAACATAAATAATAAACATTTAAGTCAAACAGCTAATTGGTTTCTGTCGCTAGAGATTTATTATGTGAATTGTGCGCTATAAAAACGTGTTTATCTACTACAATCCTCAACGGAGTTGCGCGTAACGAGCAGCGATGAACAGAATATCAAGGCTGCTGTTCTAAGTTACCCTGAGGTAGTTGCAACTTTAAATGCCAAGAAGTCAAGACCACCACGTCTGTAATTCTTCGGACAAGATCTTTTCACGCGACTAAAGAAGTATGATAATAAAACCTGAAAGAAGGATGTTAAATATAATTAATGGAAAGTGCTATCTCTCGAGAAAGATTTTATTTGCATTTATTATATATTTATCCGAAATAATGGTGATAATATTACATATATGAATTTCATTAGTAATAGTAGGTTTACGGACATTCGATGACTAGGTACTTTTAATTCAAAAGTAAACTATAACAATAGTAATTTATATAATTATTTTTCATCTCCATAAACGTTAATATAAGTTTTGAGGAGAGTATCTTAATAATTTTTGTAATTTATAATGTGAAATTTAAAATGCATCATTTTAATGAGTCCTTAAGTTAAATTAAGTCAAAAATATATAAACATTTTAATTACTACTTATATTAAGCATAACAATTATCTAGAAATATAAGAAAGATTGTAATAGAGA